CCCGTTTCCTATGTTTTTCCAAAAATTTTTGAATGTGAACATCTCCTGAACGAGATGGATTTTCTGGCTGGAATTTCTAGTTTTGTATCAGGAGTATATAAGATTCGAGGTGGTGGCACTAGAAAGCCGACCGTCCAGCAGTTTTCCTGTTTCCTAGGTTTTTCGAAAAATTTTTGAACTTGATTATCTCATGAACGAGATGGAATTTCAGGCTGGAAATTCTAGTTTTGTATCAGGAGAACATAAGATTCGAAGAGGTGGCACGACAGAGCCGGCCGTCCTGCTGTTCCCCCGTTTCCTATGTTTTTCCAAAAATTTTTGAACCTAAATATCTCGCGATCGTGATATAATTTCTTGCCAAAAATTCTAGTTTTGTATCAGGGGAACAGAAGAGCTGTTCTCCTGATACGTATGTTTTTTGCATTATGTTTAAATGCTAGTGTCTCTGTTATTAAGAGATATTCTTTGCTGAATATTTGAAAATTTTTTTCCATTAATTTACTTATTAACTAATTGTTCCTGTAGTTCAGTTTACTCTGTCAAATGATTTTGGACAATATAAACTGTACTATATATTGCGTAGTTCTTAGCTTGATATCGTTTTGCAAACTTTAGTGTTTGTACGACATCAATTACCAGGTCTCACCACGAGGAGGTGACTACGCTCGAGACCCATTGTGGGTTATATCTGTTACATTCAAGTTTCGATATTTAATTAGATAAATTTAAAAATTGGAGTTCTTAAGGATGAACTGAAATATAATATATGATTTCTAGTTCATAAATTAAACTACTAGGAAATTTAAGTACATATTCACTTACCGTTTTTTATCTTTGAATTATAAGAATTGTTTATTTACGGGATTCAAAAATCTGAGTGCTTTAGTTTTCTAACGATAAATAAATGGAGGATATGCAGATAAAATGTGAAGAATAACACCATTTCATGTCGCAATGTTTTATTAAAATAATACCATATTTACAGTGTTTATTTATTTCCTTTTTCAGCATTTTAGTACATCTGAAAATGTTATTCAGTTCTAATTATCATATTTTAACATTTTCTTGTTCTCTTTTATTTTAATTGAAACAAAGTGAAACGCTTTTCGTTATATCTTGTATACATTTATTATCAATGATCCGATTTCGGTATGCAATTCATTTTAAGAAAGTATACTATTACAAATAAAGAGTAGAATTCTACGAAGTAAGAAAATTTGGTATTTCAAATGTAAGGTATTCATTATAAACAGTATTTTACTTAATTCAGTTTTTAAAATAAAATATTTGTACTATTATTTATAAGATGTAGTTAAAGAAAGAACTAACGTTCATTTCGAATTAATTGTATTTTCCAAAAATTGGGTTACCATTTGAGATTAATATTGATCAAATTATACAGGATACATGAGACATGAGTAGGCGGTCTCATACTTTCACTTTTTAAACTGGACCAAGAAAAGGCCGCATGAATTATAAAAAGTGTTTTAAAGCGAGATATAAGAAAATCAGATTTATTTTTATTTTTTATATAATATAATATAAAGTATTATAATATAATAATATAAAGTATTAATATCATTTTAATACAACAATGAATAACGTATTAATAATATTTGAATACAAGAAAAGACTGATTTTACGATAAATATTAAATAAATATGAACTTTTGTGTGATGGATATTTTCATGTATTTCTTTTGTATTATGTTGTAAAATATATTGTATATAATCATATAAAAGCATATTTCAATTTTATCAAACATTCAACATAATCAATACATTAAATATAATATATTTATGTTTCATGTTATATTCTTGAACGACGGTGATATTGGTAGTAAAACTTTACACATGAATAAAATAAATCTAAAGAATTATGTACATTTAGGAAATATTTATGATTCTGTTCAAACAGTTGCGTTCCAAGTGCATTGCTTAATTTATGGAACCAGCAAGATCCTAGAACGATAAGATTGGTTACACTGTTTAAGCAGGAACTATAATTTAATTGTATGGTATATCTTATGTACAGCTTTATCCATGGCTTGATACAAGCATGATATAAGTTTAAAAATTAAAGTAGGTTATCCGAAGTTGACTGTGTCTATTGTTAGTTAGAATTTATGAACTTGTGGAATAAAAGTATCTGATGGTAACGATTTCTCTTTCATGTACCTATAAGAAACAGTCACAACACCCAAGTAAATTTCAGTTAGATGTATTGACCCATACATATTCAATTGATTACTTAATGTGAAACACGCGAAACAAGAAAGCCATAGGGTTAATCAATTCTTTTTTGTTGCATTTTCATCCGAATAATTTTCATACAATATTTTCTCTTCACAGTTTAATATATTTTTTAAAAGAAACATAATTTCTAAATTTACATGTGTTGCACATTTGAGATGTAATGTAAAACGATAAAGAATAATGTATTATTTGTAAATATATTTTTAATCAGAATAAAAATCAATCAATGGTTGATTTCAAAATTTAGAAAATGAAAAATTTGTTTTATCTGTTTCATCCATTTATTCAATGACAGTGCATTCATGTTCGGAGAAATGCTTGCTGAATGACGTTCATTGACATTGAAAAGTAACATTCTATTGAAAAAGTAATATGATTTTTAAATTTTGGCGTTGATATTGACACTTTTTTCATACATATTGACACTTTTTTTTGTTTGCTTAAATGACGTATGGTTTCCTCCAGCTAAAACCATTAAAGGAAGGCTTCGATGAAACTTTGTAAGCTTGAAGAATGGTCAAAAGATAATAGATGAATATTTTTTTCTAACCCAAGTTTAAGATATATATATTGCAAATTTCATAAAAATTCAGATTAAAGAGAGTTCACGACTAAATTTCAAATTAACAAGATTTTATATTATATTTAATATTCATTTAAATATAATGTTCTTAATTTCCAGTTGAAAGATATAGAATATTTTACACATTATTGTTATATACATATATTTTTTTACTACACAGTTCATAAACCAAGTCGGTCTGTATCCAGATATTATCACATATACGAATTTATCACGCGATCTTAACATTTTACTACGTTAAAAAGAGAATGATTACTTCTGGCCTCATTTATTTATAGCCAATTTATTATACTTAACTATCTTTTTATATTTGACAATATATGTCTCGATGGGTTAAAAATGGTCGCCTTTAAAAATAACGCTTTTCTAATTTTATGTTTACATTTAAAAAGATATTCGAATAGTTTAATTAGAATATAATATCTGGCATAAATTTTAATTGTATTTTTATAACTTTATAACTTTATAAACATGTTAATACCTATTACAATTAGATTGGCAAACGATTTATTCTATATTACATTATTAGTTTATTCTACATTGCATATTATTCTATGCAATATTATTACATTGCATATTATTCTTGCACATTATTCTACATTCTTGATTTATTCTACATCATTATTTCAACGTTTAAAGTATGATATAGAATAACGATTAAAAATAAATTTAATTTATTATACCTTGCATACATAAATAAAATAATTCAAAATAAATTAATTAATGAATATTCTTGCATCGTGCAGACTTGTATCTACTGTTGAATTATAAAAATACGAAATGCATTATTCCGTGTGAATGACATAAAAAAAAGTTTCTGCCGATCGTATTCTCTATATTTTATAATCTTGTCTTGCAACTTTCTAGGATTTTGACATAAAAAAGAGAGAGAAAAAAAAAGAAACAACGGATGAAGCTTTACGAGAATATGAGAATTCAGCGCGTAAATTGAACACTTGCGTGACTAAGATTCCGTGACTCTGTAATTCCAATTATGCACAATGCATGATATAACGGTGTACATACAGTTTAGGTTGAAAATTTTTATTTTGTTTTCATTTCGTTTAATTTTTACTCTATCTACATGTATAAATATTAAGATTGCGTTCCATTTTTAATAATATAATATAATAATAAAATATAATCTCAAAATTATATAAAGATATAAGCGTTATCACCACGCAACTCTGGAACATAATGTTTCATTTAATTTTACTTTTGGCTTTAACATTGATATTGACATCTTATATGTCATATGTTAAGCAAAGGATCTCGATTATATTCATTGCTCTCGAATTTACAATTCCGCGAATTGTTGTACCTCTGAATACACAGAATACACAGAATTACATAAAATTACAAATTAAAATATTCAAAATAATATTTGAATACTCGATATAATATTTGATAAAACTCTATTCAATTCTAGTATCATCGAGTTATAGATGTCTAGAGTAATTGATTTTAAACGACTAAAATTCATATTTCACATTCTTTATTAAATTAAAAAATTAAACTAAAGATTCTAAAATTGCCATTGTCCCCAGTAGCTCCAACAACTCCATTTTCTCAGTTACGATCGCAAAAATAACAAATTGAATAAATACATAATCACGAACCCCTGCGAAATGCGGCCGAAATTACTTATATTTTAAATTACATCAAATTACTTATATTCCCCAAAATAGAAGGGTTTAGTAATAAAGCTAAATTGAATTAAAAAATTCCAAAATTAATTTCACTCTAAATTGTTCAGTTGTCCAATACAGCTCGATAGTATCAGTGACTTACAATCTCGAGTTATCATCTCGATGCTAAAATGTTGAACAAATATCCGCAGTCCAAGCATGCGACCAAAATCTCCTACTATTTTTCAATCACTCCCTGAGAGACGGTTTCGCCGAATAAGGAAGCAACTCGTTCGTAGAACCACGACGCGACCTTCCAAGGGTTGAAAGGCATTCCGAAAGTAACTCCGTACGACGTGTGACATTAGTCGTTTACGCGTCAGAGAAAAGTGGGAGGAGGAGGAGGAGGAGGAGGAATTTTCATTTCACATCAGGCCAGGTCAAAGTATACTTACAATTAGTCGAACAGAGCCGAACGAAGGCTGATCGTTCGTTTTACGAAAAAGTATCCAAGGCAAGAGGACGAGGTTCGATGCGTGCGATGTAGACAGTCCTGAGGACGTACGTTTACCTGCAGTCCCTACCACTTTCTTTGGCCGGTTGGTGGGCACCGCGTTCTCGTTACCGTGGTCCACGCTGCACTACTGTTCCACTATCTCCTCATTCACCTCGCGATTCGACAGGATCGAAGAACACGCGCGTATCTCCCGGACATTCATCTTCGAATTGTCGATCTATCGGTGAAAAGAACCGAGCGACTCTTCGCTCGATTCCACATCATTCTCCACGCTCGTGTTGCCAATCTTTCTTTCGTCTTTTTTTTTTTTTTTTTTACTTTCTATCGGCGAAGACGCATTGAGTCTTGTTACAAAATTGTTTCAAAAAATTTCGTGAAAAGTGACCGATCTGACAGGGAATCCGCGTGTTCAACGTCGCTGCACGAGAAGAGATAATAGTTTGGATCTTAAACGTTCCTATCTTGATCTCACGAGGGAAGTGTAAAGGCAAAAGATAATACACAGTAATAAACAATAAGAATTCACGATACAACGACTCGACTCTTCTTTATTATTGACATCGATCATCGCTCGTGAAATCATGTGCACCTGTTACCGTCAGTGTCACAATTAGTTGCATTTTACTGTATTATTCGTCCGGCGCTCAAGCTCTTTCGTTTAAAGAATTTTGAAGAAGGGACCACTTGAACGGCTGAGTCGTTCGAATGGGAGAGCAACGACGAAAGGAACGTATTCGATGGTGATTGTCGGTCAGTGGAGAACAATCAACCCACAGATAAAGTGACAAAGGCAGGTGCCGGTTGGAAGGTGGAAAGTAGGCAATATCGTTTAAGAGGAACTCCTTCTACTGAGGATTATCAGAAGCAATGGAAACGGCGATCACGGCCTAAATGAGTATGACCGACAAATATGTGCGTGTAGTACGTTGGTGATAGAGAAACCTACCTCGTATGGTTCTCTTCTTTCCATTCGCTCACCTCGGGCTGGAAAACTGTTGTGTGTTACATAAAGAGGGATTTTACTGGCCAGTTAATGAACTCGGTTGTGCGCGCAAATAGGGAACATCTATCGGCGACCTTACGTAAGTAAATATGAATAATTTCTTATTTGAAAGTGGCGAAGAATGTAGAATGAACGTAGAATAGAGCAAGTGCAATACCGTGGTCCACGCGTGACAGCCCCGTATTACGTGTTTATCTTCTTATGGTGAGGGCCCGAAGTTTCAGACTCTCGCTGAGAACCTGGAACTGCGCCCAACAATTTTATCGCACACTTTTCAGAGTTACTTCTCCAGTTCTCTTGATAAAATGAAATTATAACAGTCCTCTTTATTTCCAAGTAAATAAATTTTTGAACTTGCTTGCAATTTCGTTTATTGAACGTTTTCTGTGAACGATTTGTTGATCATCGATCGTGAAAATTAATTTTGTATCGTTAGATACAATTTTTGCAATTGTGAATAACGAAAGAAAGTTATGTTTTAATTTCGTGATTTTCTTTTTATCATTTTGTATGCTGATCGAATATTGTACATTATACTGTATATATGAATTATGATAAATAACAAAAAGTTTGATTGATGTGGCTTAAAGAATTGAATTTTTTGCTTGTCAATAACAGATAAAATCATTTCACTCAGTTTAATTTATGATTTAAATGTCCGTCGCTAATAACACTTTTTACGTTAATAGATGTAATTATGTTAATAGCTTCATTTCATTCTTCTATGATAAACAAACTTTATAAACATATATTCATAATTATTTTCATATCGATCAATTTTCATGAGATATTGAACGAACATCATTGAGAAATGATTTATGTAAAATTTTCCTAATGCACGACTCTAAAATAAAAAGACCATCATATGACAAGTACTGTATACTTAATGAACAAATCCTTGTAAACGATTCTTACAATGATGAATTTCAAATTATAATCATTCCATATGCTTGGAGAATATATTTCCCTTAAGAAACATTTCCAATACGTATTTCCAAGTATTTTTATAAATTAGATCTCTTGTAAAATATTGATTTCATGATATTATTATAATTTTCTAGAAGAAGGTGTTCAATTATAATATCTTTTTTAGCTCTAACATCAACAGATATAAATATAAAATATAAAAATAAATATAAAACTAATCTTGATATCATATATAATAAAATATAGAAACGAAAAAGGTATTTTTGGAAGAAGATCGCCGAACTTAATAACCGAGCAACATTATTTCGATTGAAAATCAGATTGAAGATTTTCATGAAAATTTATATTTTTATGAACACGATTAAAGAAAGACCCAAATAAAGACTTGTTTTGTTCATTAAAAACTTTTATGCATAAAAATCTCTTGTCAACTAAGTATATTGCTTATTTTTGCTTGCAAAAATTACGCGTAAGTTTCTACTTTCTACAAATCCATTATCGTTTTACTAACATAATTGTTGACAGAATTTTATTGACACCGTAAAATTTCGGTTTGAATTTAAATACTGTATTACGTGCACGTTAGATGCAACAGGAAATCGAGGTATGACCTTTAACATTAACGATTGTCGCAAAGTTCAGGTAACATCACGTTTCATTTACCAAACATTTAGTTTCTTTTTCATAATGGTGTCAAACTATCATTATGGCCTGTTCTTATGAATTTAAACATAATATCTTAATTTAGATATCATAACGATCGGAAAAATTTGTTAGATCATCGTTAACAAGATCGAACGTCAAAATAGCTGAATCAGACATACGAATCATAATCTCATAACTATTTAGATCAGAAAACATTACAGGCTTGTTTTTACTTCTTATTAACTATAATAATAATTTAATAACTTATTAAGACTATTGAAATGATGACTTACAAATGTTTAATTATGATTTACGCAATATATTTCTATCTTTTTTTATTAAATATCTGACACTTGAATAAAATAAACTTTCAATTTTTATTCATTTCAAAGTAATTATATTTTATGTTAATATATACTAATGTAGCTAGTAAAAGAATCAATTATGGATTAATTAGTATATATTAACATAAAATATAATTTGACAAGAAGAGGAAATATCTTTTTATCAAGGTCTTTATTATACAAATCATGAGAGTTACTTGCCTTTTTCCTTTCTTTATAAAATGGCTGGGCTGGAATTATCTTGATGCAGAAACATTGTCAGTGACCCTTTTCGCGTAATTAGCGTAGCGTAATTGCGTGCATACGGTTTAAGTCATGAAAATAATTAAAAATTTTTATTTTCTCGGAAATATTTACTGAGAATGTTAATTCTGATATAAAAGTAACACCTGAAAAAAGATATTATTAAAATTATTATTCAATTTCCTGAAATCTTGATTAATTAAAATACTATTTCATTAAGTTTTCTAATCCTTCTTCTCATCAATTAAAATACCTTAATTATTGATAGATCTGCCATGTTACATACTGATTCTTCCACATGTTAAAATTTATTTGATATTAAATTATATACTTTGGCACAATGTTATTTCGTGTTATTAAACATTATACGTTATTTATATCGTTATCTCTTGATGTTAAATAATTCGTAATTTATACGTAACTATCTTTCGTGAGAATAATCGACTGATCATACAGAAAGATCTCAGCGTGAACTTTCTTTAGTATTGTTTCACCTACAGGCACGTTCTACTCCATTATTACACGGTACGTTGACTGGAACTACTGGAACTATTATTTGATATTTAGGGCAAGTTCAGCTGTTTCGCAACGTTGATCAGTCACTGTCAAAACGTTTAAACGTCCACGTCGCCGCAAACACGCTTATTCACATTAAAACGAACATAACATCTTTCTCCTTCGTTTCAGTAAATAAATCCGTATCTTTTGAGTTATACTTCATAGTCACAAAAATATTAAAAACTACAAAATGCAAAAATGAAAAAAATATCAAGAATTGCAAAATGAAATCAGAAACTGTAAAAATATTAAAAATTATACTACGAGTAATAAAGTATAGTTTTAATATTTCGATGAATATTCAAGATGCAACAATTCCACGTTGTATCAGTTTTACCGAAAACAAAATATGAAACCGAACCTGGAAGCGGCAAATGCAACAAAATTAAAGTAAGTACGTGGTTCACCATGAAGAGTGTTTCGCAAAAAGATCACTTTCTCTTTGTGATCACGTCAACATTTCAGCCACTGAAATGTACTCATTCAGGGTCCTTCGAGGGTAAATTAGACGAGTTTATCTTCTTTTTTAACATATTCACAAAATTAAGATTCAAGATATTCGAAAAGTCAAAGTCTAAAAACGCAAATCAAATTATAAAAACGCTGACTATTAATTACTCAAATAAATTTAACCAACAGCGAACCACGTGGAAGATTTCCAAGTGTTTTAATTAAAATAATTCTCTGAAATTTTATTGTTATTTTGTTGCTAAAAAGCGCTTAAATCAACAAGGTATTACATAAAGTAAGATCAAAGATACAGCAAGGTGAGAAAGAACAAACTTGACTTTCTCTTTATTTTTAAGGATTTCGATATCGCAACGCACTTTTGGATTTTTTCCCTTTTTAAGAAAAAAACGACATGTCGAAATATATTACTTTGCTTAATATAATTTTCAATATAAAGATTGATTATGACTAAAGGATCGGAATTTGAATATACTTCTCTAATTTTTTATCGTCCAATCATGTAGTTACGTTTTATAATTTAATTAACATAAATAACATATTAACTTTTCCAAATAAAGTGATTATTCAAGTTAAATGAGAGTAAATAATTTTGTTACAGTGCAAAACATAAATATAATATGCACAAAATTTGCAGACAAATGATAACAGTCAAAATAAAGTATTTATTATAAAATTTAGTAGATGAAATAAATTTCTTTCTCTAGTTATGAACCTGAAAAAATTCTAGGAATATAGTTTAGAAATAGATAAAGTATAAAATATAATAATAATAATCTATAATTTACTTAAATTTTACAAAAATAAAAGACTGTATTCTATAATGTAATTAATAAATGTAATCATGCACAATGCGGTAATTTTATAATTTTATAACTAATAATCATAATCGTAATCATAACAAAATTATCTAAAAAGAGAATTCTGAATTCTACTTTGAGTGAAAAAATTGAACGGATACACATTAGTATTGCGGTAAAATTTTTGAGCACGATTCATGTACTATCTATAAAAATACACAGAATGCGGTTTCGAATCGAAACCACAAACTCGAGATAAACGCTTCCGTATATCTTTTCTACGATATCTGAAATGTTCTTAAACCATGCCTCTTCGTTTCTCAGAATTTTTATACAACAGTAACATCAGTTGCATAAAAACCATCAAAGGAAAAAGTATTCCCAAAATTTTTCATTAAAAGAATTATAAATTTTATCGGAAATTTGATATTTACTATTTTGCTCAGTAACAAAATTATAGTAATTCGCAGGTAGAAATTTGAATAGATTAATTTTTATAATATCAATCTTATAGCAAAATTTTCCTACCATCTGTAAATAAAATTTATTAAGTAGATGTTAATTTTCAGAAATTTCAATAGATTTATAGTATAAATTTCATATTAATTTAAATATACTGTCAATAGATTTACAATTATATTAATTATAAAATTTCTTGATTTAATCGGTATTAATTTTTAATATTTGAATAGATATGTAGAAAATTCAAATATACAGAATAGAATTAAAAAAAAGAGGGAAATCTTCGAAGACAAGAACAAACAAAAGGAATAACTTTTAAATTGATCTTTAAATAGAATGTACTACGTAAGATCCCAAAATGTGCAAAACATCCAAGACAGAGTGTTCATTGCAATATTTAATAGGCAAAATAAATCTCTCCTTAAGTTCCAGTTTCTTTCTTTGTCCAAAGAGTGAAAGTTTGACATTGAAAGTCGCTGTTCATTCAACTCGAAATATTCATTGCAGATTTTAATTATCGTAGTTATGCTCGCAATATCGCGCTCATGACAGAAACACTTGCGCCAGGCTTTCGTTTTCGAAACTATTCATTTCATATATCATCCATGCGTGGACAGGAAATGTGGGAATTAATTCTGTGTGCCTATGCAGACTCTACGAAATTAAGTAGCCGTCAACGTACATATATCAACTTGATCAGCCAAGATTTCAAGGTTCGATAGCTTTTTGAAATGATGAATACAGTAGTTTTATCGTAAATGATCCATAATCGTTTTCTCCTCGTTTGTTTATTCTAATATGAAATGTATGGCTAGAATCGAATCTGGTTATTACTGCAACCTAGTGTATAATACAATTTCTCATGAGGTAGTATCATAAGTGTTGGTTATTGCTGATACGCGAAGTAAACGAGATGTATGAAATATTATATATTCCGGTGCGGAATTTGATCAAATAGTTTCGTATTTTAAATATTTGAAGAGTAAGCTACAATCTATGTCTAAATGTTACTAATAAGAAAAAATTATTGTAGGATTAACAAAAGAAAGATAACTATTTATTTATATATATATATATATATATATATATATATATATATATATATATATGTGTGTGTGTGTGTGTGTGTGTGTAGTTAGGAGTTACGTGCTCTTCTGTTCTAAAATATCTTTAAATTCAAATGTAATCATCGAATCAAAAGATAGTCGCGACGTAGTTTAATTTAATACAGTAAAATGACACTAATTTAATACAGTAGAACAACACTAATCAGAAACACAAATTGAATGCGTGTCAATCGAATTGTATTTCAAAAGTCAAATTTCAAATATTTAAGGAAGAAAATGATGATTTGAAATATTTTATAAACATTAATCTACTTGTTAATTAAAATTATATAGATTTTGAACAAATGATGTTTCCCATCATTCACTGCGGAAAAAAGAATAATGAAATTTACTGTACAATTATTGCAGACATGTTGAGAGATGTATAAAATGTATTATTATTATTATTATTATTGCTGTTATTATTATCAGAATAAATTTCACTCATTTTATTACACATGTGTATTATTATTCTACATATAGATTTCCATGAAATAGTGTTTTGTTCTTTAAACAAATGTCAGAGACATTGCAATTATTTTAGAATCTGTCTAATTTTAACGAAAAGGTTGATTAAGATTCACGAATTATGCAAAACACGTTCTTAGTTCTCCCTGTTTTCGCATTTTAAATACTTGAAAGACAGACGTACTTACAGGCAGGCTTCTGTGACTGATTGTTGTTCATTACTTCAACTTCGATACCCTCAACGAAACCGTACTTTCTTCTCGATTTCTATTTAATTTCCACATCACCCTTGATATTGTGTGTATGATTTCACTCGTTTTGGAAATGCCGAAAAGGTTGTGAAAGCTCGATCTGGTGTAAGTTCTCGTTGCAATAACGGTAGGAAGCCGTGCGTCATGCTTGTTTCTATCCCTCCTTCGTGAAGGCAAATGGAAAGTCTGAAATCACAGTTCCTTCTTCGTATATAAGCGGCGTGTAAACTCCGCTCGGGCACACCATTCGTCCTTGCGGTCATTATGTTTCCGCATAGCCATTTACCGACGTACGCAAAATGTGTACATTGAACCATCGTTATCGATCGAATATATTTAAGGCTTGATCCTCCAGACTTGGCAACTTCATTTCCTTCCTGCGTCCAGTTTCACCAATCGAGAATTTTCATATTCACTCGCGGTGAAATTGCATTTTTCGAATATTTGAGAAAATACTTTCTACAATACGTCAAAAATAACTCTCTACGTGATATAGCATTGCAAGTCGAGTATGCAGAAGAAGCTCAGTCAATATTAGTGTGTCTATTATGTGACTGTACATGTGTATGTGTGTAGCAATTATGACACCGCAGTTAAATCAGCTCAAGAACTTCAAGCTTCAAAATGATTTAGCAAAGAGCTGTTTAACTCATTTTCAAGATGAAATAATTGATTAAATGAATCTTGTACAAAAGTAAAGGTGCTTGATGCTCTTTTAAAGAGATACGAACCAATTCATTGTACAATCTAATATTTATATACCGATTATTATTATGGAATTAATTTTCTGCGCTTCAGTATTATTCTATACTTTTATATAGAATGAAACTTTAAATTTCTGACTACATTAATCGAGATGTAGCTTTCCGCTCTCTACACAAGTGTATCTTGTGTGTTAAATACCGGAAGCCTCGAATACTTCCTTTCCTACGCGACTTTTATTTCCATATATTATTAATGAAGCATATTATGAGTAATTATAGGTATTTATACCTATATTATATACCTACGTACTGATAGAAATAATATAATCTAAGGTAAGTTAAAGAAGATGAACACAACTGGAGGAAAACATGCTTTTTGATGAAAGGACACAATGTGTTTAGTATCAAACGTCTGTCTACTGTAATTTAATAATATCATAGATCAATGTAAAGTATACTGTAATGGTACTTTATGCAAATAATAGATTAATTTTTTTTATAACAGTAAGTATTAAACTTAAAAGATAATATAAAAATTGAGGAAACGTTGTTTTATAGCCACGCAGAAATAAATAAAATTCTACGAATTGTCCTCATAAATGTAATAAAAAATTCTACGCAACATTTTAAATAATACATTTCTATGCTCAATAGGAGTATATTTTACTTCTGATACATTCCAGTTTTTCGCAGCGAAGGCTGTCAGCAGTTGAAATAATGTTTCGAAACTAAACTGGCTCTGCCATTTTGTAACATATTGATCGGAAAAGAAAAATTGAAAATCGCATTTATAGATGAAAAGAAATTCTTTGTCTACTTTTCAGCAATCAGTTTTAGAAAATACTGCTTTCAATTTGACGAATTTCTTTCAAACTGCGTTGAATTTAACTCTTGAATCGAAATCGAATCATCCGGGCGTATATTATGACACTTTTTACTTCTCATTATCCTAGAATCACAGTTCTCAATCTCAAATCTTTCGAAATCATTATAAATCGAGCCGATATGTTTAAGTAACATAAGTTAGTGCGCTTAAATATATGCACAGGTTTGCATTCTTTTGAAATCGTCGTAGATTGCGCCAGTGCATCTAGGCAACAAGTAACAGACGAAACTAATATTAAAATTCTTGCCAGGCATCGAGAATAAAACTAGGATTCCGAATCTTTGCGTGGATATCGACGGTCCTGACGGTCGAACGACACAATCCCAACCGAGGCTGGTGAACATAAATGTTGCAGTGCAAAAGCAGCTCGCGATTGCGCCGAAGTTTGCAAAACTCGATAAATTAAGGGAGAGTTGGATTGCTCCAAGGCCTTTACAAATGTTTAATGATCGTACATGTTCGCCACAAATACAGATTGAAGCGCATGTACATGTGCGTACATACATACATACTATGCGCATACGTGCATACGCACTCTCGAAATTTTCAATGCATTATATTGCAATCCTATATTGCCTTTCGTTGCTCTCGCTGTCATTCGTTCTTTTTCTTCTCATCTGTTCCGGTATACTTTGATTGATTAACCTCATTTTGTTTTGCATTTTCATGCAAACATTTCCCACAATTACAAGATGAATGAAAAGATCTTGTTCTTACTATCTCTTATTTTCTAATAAAATGGTTTTCATTAATGGCGATCGTAAAAATTCATTGTCAGTTTGCTGAAAAACAGTTCATACACGTTATGAGGATCGAAGATGTTATTTTTAAAACTGAAGAAAGAATTTTTTACAACAAAATCATTGCATCAAGCTAATCCTTAGTAAAATATTGAAGGACGACATTCCATTTATAAAAGTCAGCTTAAATTATCTAACAATAAGTGGATTTGATGTAAAATTTTGTCAACACTGATATGAAAATCGTCAAAAGTATTTCGCCGCTATTTATACCTAAATTGTAATATAAAGATCCGGAGAAAATTTAAGATAATTTATATGTTTCTCTGATAACGTTGAAGAAATTATAAATGAAAAAAGTTAAGATATTATACACAAAACAGGTTGCAATTGAGGAAATTTTTTAATATTCAAATCACTTCAAGCTTGTCGTTATGTTTCGTTCATATGTACATACGTATCATATGAAATATGGAAATCTATACAAATGTTATTTTTGCTATCTACTGCGATTTCTCCATTGAATAGTCATAGAATTTATTCAATGATGTATCACAACAGTGCTGTTAGTATTATTGCAATTCGATCGCGGCGAATGTTTCAGAGAAAGCGGTAATGCATGGTCGCGTTTGATTTCTGCCATTTTGTATTGTATCTGGAGCGTAAACTATTTCTGAAATTTGATAATAGCAGTGATTTTGTAGCAAATATTTCAAGCTATATTTATTTCTGTCGATACGCAACATTTTACTTTCAATTTTCTGTATCACGTCATAGAAGCTAAGTTATTAATGATTACACTCGTGAATAAAAATTTTCCAAATACCGAGAAAGTCAATATTAGAATATTAGAATAGTGCAGTAAATATTGTAACAATTACGGATACTTAAATTGAAGCGAAAATAAGGACTGAAAATTTGTTGTCTTACAGTAAAAAAAAACTCTATAACTGAATGCTTGATAACAACTAATAAACAAATTCTTACGAGACTCTAGCAAAATACAATTCAATTGTAAGAACATAAAATGTAACATTAAGTTACGACAAGATACAATTAAATAGAATTATTTGTTTCGTGTTAAATTCAGTTAAACTATTGGAACCTTGGGATAATTAAGAAATATTAATTTCTAATTAGAATTCGAATTTTTTATCACTATACGTCACGCTGACAAATATCTCGACTATGAGTATATTATATGAAGAATGTCATGTGGTATGGTTATTCCGTCCATTAGATGTTAATTTTGTATTTTCGTGATTTTCAGTGTGGAATACGTGCATAGCAATTTCAAACTTTTTATCATGTACATACACATTAACAGATGTTTGACGTTGTGAATCAATTAACGTTGGAAATAATGTGTTATTTTGATTTTAGAATAGTTCAATATATAATTATTTGTTTTCATGATTATTTGCATCCGTCTTTGTTGATTAGCCGTGTACCATAATTTATTCAGGGAAACACGAATAAGAATAACAGATTATGAGACGCTATACTATATTTACATGAAAAAAGTGTCACGATATTAATCTTCATTAAGCTAAATAGACTGAAAAACAGATTCGCACAGTTTCTTGTAAATAATGTATAATAATATGTAAATAATATG